CCGCTCTGCTGGCCCGGCGGGAGCGCACCCGGCCACGCCACTTACTGGTCAAGCCGGGTGGCTGCCCCCTTCCCCGCCACCCGCCCGCACCCCGCTTGCGCTGCACCCCGCGGCTGCGCCTGCCAGCGCCCGGCTCAGCTGCCCTCTCACCTGCCCAGGCTCAACCCCGCGCACAGCAGGAAGGCGCTGAGGAACTCACGGATCGTCAGCCAGAAGGATGATGTGCACGTCTGCATCATGTGCCTCCGCGCCATCATGAACTACCAGGTAGGACCTTCCCCCCCAACCCCGCCGCCCTCTCCCAGGGCTCCTCTGATGCTGCAGGTGGCACTTGGGCTCGGCATTGGCTTTGGGGTGGCCTTGGCTCTGGTCAGGGAAGCCAGGGGGTCCCCGATGGGCTTGGCTCCGTGCTCTGCTCCCTGGGATGGGTGCTGGCATGGGAGAATGTGACATGTGCCAGGGGGTCCTCCAGGGGCCCTGGGTCCCTGAGCATCACCAGGCTGGGGACAGGAGGCTGCAGGACCCCCATTAACGCTCTTTTTCACCCCAGTCTGGCTTCAGCCTGGTGATGAACCACCCAGCCTGTGTCAATGAGATCACGCTGAGCCTCAACAACAAGAACCCCAGGTAGGACCCCTCCAACCCCGTCCCCATGGCCAGCCAGCCACCTGCCCACCACCCAGGCCCCACTCAGGCCCCACACCCCTGCAGGACCAAGGCCCTTGTCCTGGAGCTGCTGGCTGCCGTGTGCCTGGTCCGAGGTGGCCACGACATCATCCTCGCTGCTTTTGACAACTTCAAGGAGGTGAGTCCCCCATCTGGGGTGGCCCCACAGGACCCCTCTGGGAGGATGCTCAGCGAGAAGCTGAATCCCCATCTCCTGGGCCAGTCCCGATCCAGCGCCAGCTGGGCTTGTGCCTCAGTTTCCCTATGTGCCCTAGAGCCCCGCTCACCATCCTCCTGCCAGGCAGTGGGGAGCTGGGCATGGGCTGCGCAGGAGGGTCTGCTTTCGGCTCACGGCACGGCTGTTTCAGCCTCTCTCGGTGCTTCCTTGCACCCCGATACAGCTGGGTGAGGACCGTGTGCCCTGTGCTGTCCTGGTGCACTGAGCACGGCCTGTCCCAGAGCCCATTCTCCCTATTCCTGGGTGGCACCCGCATCCCAAGCTCCTCCAAGGGGGTTTCAGTCCTGGGACATGGCCCCGACACCGGGACAGGCAGAGACGCTCGGTGCCTAGGCTGAGTCTTCTCCTGCCACCCCCAGGTCTGCGGTGAGAAGAACCGCTTTGAGAAGCTGATGGAGTATTTCCGAAATGAAGACAGCAACATTGACTTCATGGTGAGGCTGAGGGGAGGCTGGCCGGGGCGCCGAGGGCTGCCAGGTCACCCAAGCCGACTGTCCCTCCGCCTGGCCCGCAGGTCGCCTGCATGCAGTTCATCAACATCGTGGTACACTCGGTGGAGAACATGAACTTCCGTGTGTTCCTGCAGTATGAGTTCACCCACCTGGGGCTGGACCAGTACTTGGAGGTGGGTGAGGCTGTGCCGAGCCCCCGGCTCCCCCCACAGGCGCTTGCTGCCCCACGCTGGCTGGGGCCATGACGGTGCTGCCGGCTCTCTCCCGCAGAGGCTGCGTCTCACAGAGAGCGACAAGCTGCAGGTGCAGATCCAGGCCTACCTGGACAACGTCTTCGATGTGGGGGCCATGCTGGAGGACACGGAGACCAAGAACGCTGTGCTGGAGCACATGGAGGAGCTGCAGGAGCATGTGGCCCAGGTGTGGCCAGGGGCGGCAGGGGGGCAGGGGCTGCCGCGTACTGGCTGCGTGCAGGGGCTCCGGCACGGGGTGGTGGTGATGGTGGCGGGGGGGCCCCGGTGGTGCTGACGCAAGCCCCACGCAGGGGGGGAGGCAGGGCTGGCTCCCGTGCCCCCCCCCGAGCGGGGGGGGG